CACTTGGCTGAACAAAAAGGAAACCCATCTCTCTCACGAAAAAAAAACACAAAGACAAAGATCCCCCGTGTAGCCTGAACAGACTGTTTGGGGCAAGTGCTGTTAGCGAGCATCTATGAAGGCCGGCACGGCACACGAGGGGGTGGGTGGCCAACACCACGCCCGACCGCTTTTGTCTCCTTAGTGGCGATGTTTTCACACCGCACCAGGTACTCATTTGAGGCTAAGTCGACCTAGGGGAGGCCCAGGACCGGTTCAGAATAATTGCCACTGGTGTTGGCCGTGAGTGGGAATCGAACTCGGGTCGCCGGGTTCGTAGCACAGCGTAGCGCGCTAACCACCACACAACCGCTCTCCCCCCCCACACACCACACACACATACTTCGCCACTGTGGTCAGTGCGGGTTGGTGTCATAGAAGTCCAGGCAAATGTAATTTGCGGCACTGCCCTATTGCTGCTCACCTCGTAGCCGTCGATGACAACCTGGCGATGAAGGCAGTCGTCGAGTTAAACACTATCCAGGCTGAAAAAAAAAACCTGCTTAGCTTCCGAGATCCGGTGATGTCGACGGGTATATTCCGCATGATTTGGTCACAAGCACAGTCCGTGGCAAGCGTCGTTAGCCGCCTGGATATATATTTGGTTCAGAAGCCCCGCAAGTGACATCATTTCACGTTCACGCATGCGGCATTGTGTACGCACTGGGGTCTGTAAACAGACGAGGATGGGAACATTGCAGAGGCCAGTAGACACGGCTGATTACACGAATGGCTGCCTGGGTGGGCAGACGGGATTGAAACTGACTCGGTGAGATTCTTTTGGCAAGATTGGCAAGGATGTTGCCAATGTTTGTATTCGTTTAGCAAGCCTGACTGCTTATGAGACCCTAAAAGCTAGTCCAGAGTTTACGAGTTGGGACTAAGATGGCTGCGATATGGTGATAAAACGATATCTCGTATGATATAAGGTCCACAATAATTGTTTTGCCCGTTTTGCAAAATATCTAAATATTACGATTTTTATTATTCTTGGGTCTTTCGGTGAAGTCACGTAGATAGGTTAAAAGAAAATAACAACAATATATATCTACCTATCTATGTGACTTTACCGAAAGACCCAAGAATATGAATTCCTGCAGTCACGAAAGCTTTAAGTCATCACGATTATTACTGCTCTTTCTTCCTATTTTAATTCCTGACAATATATTTATAAAATAACACACACAAAAAACACGATAATCAACGCTCTAAATAAATGAATAGTGATTACCAATGATATGAGTGGTTAGTAATCAATTAACAGTAGCATAGCTATCGATTGCGCAGGCGATTCAACTGCACCAGGGCCCATGAGCCAGAGGGGCTAAAGCACGAGACTACAAAGAGGATGAAAGATGGACAGGCGGCCCCATTCCATTCCTTGCACGGGGGCCCATGCCAACCGCTCCATGGTGCTCGGCATGGTCATGTTATCAAAGTGACCCGAACATGGTGGTCATTAGCACGGTTACGCAATGAATTGACTAGACATGAAAAGACCCAGCGACCTGGTCCTAAGCTGCAATGTCTATGAGAATGAATGTTGATTGCAGAAAGAATGGAGGAGTTGTGTTCTGTTAAAAGGGCCACATTCAGACAGATGAGGGTAACTTTAGGGAGAGTGGAAGGAGTTCTGTTTTTGGACCATGAGGACGGCCAGGAGAAACAGTGCTTTTGGGCAAGAGTCAGTCAGGGTCTGCACCAATAATATCTCTCTAACCATGAGTGAAAGAGGCTATTCGTCAAAGGCAGTGGCATGGTTATAGAGTGTGCATGTGGTGCAACGTATGAGACAAAAACATGGGACCATTCGGATGTAAGCGATGGGGCAGTGTTTAAAACAACAGATTGGTATGAACCTGGCCACCTGAGTTAAATTCCCAACTATGGCTAACATCGGTGGTAAGTGATATATCTGAACTGGTTCTAACCCCCGTTCTTTTATCAAACCATGCTAACTAGCATTGTGAAGTATATTAAAAATACACCCACAACTGACTATGGAGTGGGGAAATCCACTATCCGGCAGGGAATGGACAAAGGGCTGTAAATTATTATTGTTTAAAGTTTTTTCTTATTAACGAGGGGCATGGTGCACTCGTTGAAAAAACAAAGGTATGTCTCCAAAGATGTATGATGTGTGTGGGGGTGTGCCCTGCCTGACCGGGTGCCTGCACATTTTGGCACCAATCATCAGCCCAGCCCACACAGTTCAAATGCCTCTAAATTTAGCGTGGTTGAGACAGCTGAAGTGAAGTGCCCTGGGCAAGAGACAGGATCTGCTTACAGGCACAGTCAATATATATTTTTGAACCATCATTCCAAATTGACATTGTTTGAGATTGACGACACCAGCCTCCAAGCAGAATGAAGTGGATCTCACTGACCCCCATGCGACTCTTCAGGAAAGATCCTTCAGGAGCCTGGACTCTAACGAGAACATTATTTTCATTGCATGCTTTTCCTTTGGTATTTATTTCCGCAAACCAATTTTTTAGGGGAACAAAACTCTGCCTGGTTCATTTTCCCCTTCCTATCTTGGCAATGTGTCACTTTTGAGGAAGTTCTTCAGTTGAATGGCTAGCTCTTTGGAAAATACAGTTTAATACATTTTTGTTTTTCACAAAGCACAAAAAAGTGGCTGATGGCAATGCCAAAAATATTTGGCTGCATACGCGAGTTGCTTTTACTCGGGGTATACTGTGCTTCAGCGCTAGTAATGATGTATGCAAAATTACACCACGTGTTCGCTGAAATCGTTGAATAAAATGTACATGCATTAATAACGGATGTTATAATTTTGTTTTTGGCAATATGAGTCAACATTTGGTTAATAAGCAATGATGTTTGCAAATACGGTTACGAATCTTCTGTGTATATGAGAACTCATTCTGTTACTCACAATCAATGAAAGGTCTGCTTATCGTAGTCGTGACTAAGCTGCTGGTGTGCGAGTGAATGTGTACAGTATTGGGAGGGAGCCAGCATACGTACCTGGACCTGGCTTTTCACTGAGTTCACAATCTAAAATAAGAACCTGTTGTAAAGCATAAACAAAATCTACTTCAATTCGTAATAGCATCGAAATTCAGCGCGGTGGCAACGCTGGAGACGATTCAAGGGACTCACGGGACAGAGCGAGAGAGAGAGGGGGCTCAATGCCATGGCACAACCCGGGGGCCAACGAGGCCAGGAACTAGAGTCGACGGAGCCACTGGGGGCAGCACAAAGTGCCAGCACCGCCAAGCACCATGGCAGAACCCTACAACATCAACACCAGCACGAGGATCACGAAGAAGGCTGGGTTTGTTGATGCCGGCTGTTCCCGACTCGCCTTCGTAGATTCCCGGCCACCGTTTACATCAGTGGCGAATATCTTCAACTGGCCCTGAGATTTCCCACGGTTGACTCAGCCTTAAATGAGTACCTGGTGTGGTGGGTAAACTTCACCTGGTGTAGTGGGTAAACTTCACTTGGCGTAGTGGGTAAACGTCGCCTGGCGTTGTGGGTAAACTTCACTTGGCGTAGTGGGTAAACGTCACCTGGTGTAGTGAGTAAACGGCCACACCACTCACTCGCGTGTCATGCTGGCCTTAATAAGTGCTCGCTAACAGCACTTGCCCCTAGAGCCTAAGAGGCCAATGCAGGGAATATTTATCTTGCGTGAGTGTAGTTACACTGCTCCAGTAGGCATCCTAGCTCCATTAATGAGTATCCTTTGGCAAACCTGAGATGAAGCTCACTGCTGCTGTCTGGGCCCTATCTGATTTCACAGTGGAGCTGTCTCCTCACACATGAGCTCAGCGACTCACGCGTCACATGCCCTGGCTGGAAGACAAGTGCCTCATTGTCACACGCACAAGCACCGCATGTCAGGGTGCGTGCCATGAAGGCCAGGAGAAGCCTGCTCCGCCTATTATAGTTTTGAAGCAGGAGACGTATAAAAGCTTTCTTGAGGCGTGATATTTGTTGAGCACGTGAAGTGAAAAGAGGGCCTCTTTAAAACAAATTATTCGTTATTGTTATTATGCTTCAGTTACCCAGGACCGTCTGAGTCTCATCACTGTTCCTCAGGAGGGTCCTGCCAGGTTTTCGCAGTAGGAGGCAATGATCGCTATGAATATTCCAATCGAGTAACAGTTGCCTTACGGGGCAAAGGAAATGTCCTTGGGCTTGGCCAGTTCAAAACCCTTTGCCCTGACGCCCCTGGACCTCGAGAGATAATGAATGGGAGGCGCCGTATAAAAGATAACCGATTACTACGATGTGCCATGGAGTGCAGCGCCCTCCCATAATTTCATTTCTGAATTTACAGACGTTTTAAGTGCTTGATTAGATATAAGGGACCAGGGTGGTACATTCACGGCAGTCCACCGGGAGAGTTGTACAAATATCGTATCGTGTGTGCCAGTGTGCAGGAGCATGGGTCATCAAATACTAGACATGGCTCTGCACATATAAAAACTTAAAAAAACATAAACGTTCCATCAAGCTATGGGGCTTTCTGAATGCATTATCTCCAGCAGCATTTGTTTAACAGGAAAATCACCGGGCCACTTTGTAGGTCTCTTTAGCAGAGCCGGGCCTGTTCAACATTTGTTGACTCGGAGCTGCTGTTGTGTTTTGTAAGACCCAAGACTGCAGCCCTCTGACCACCTCTGAACTGTGCAGATGCAACCCAGTTTCCTCCCAGGGCCTCTCTTTGGACACGGGGCCCAAACGCAGACGCAGATTGTTGCCGATAAGTGTCCAACCCTGCAAATGATCACCAACACCTTTGTTGTTTACCCACTGCTGTGACTAATCACGTGTGAGTCGCCGGTGTTTCTCCAAAACCCAGACGTTCCTCCCAGGAGCCTAGCCAAGAAAAACAGTCAGCTATGTTGAGAGAGAGAGGAAGTACAGCAACAGCTCGGTTACAATGAGTCTCCTGTGCAATACATGACAGGGTACCGCCTGTATCATAACAATACACATTATTGTTTTTTTTATTCAACTGCAATATCATGATCATGTATTGTACTTTATAGCGCATCTCACACAAGCATAAAACAAGTCCGTAATTTTGAATCACACTTGAAAGCAGCACCGCGCCTAGGTAGCAGCACACACGCACTTAGGATCAACAAAAAGTATTCGAGACAACAAGTAACATCGCACTCACTGGAGTGCATCGTAAGCTGATGCATAGGACAACTCGTGTAAACAACAACTCGACCATTCTGTAGTCGCATTAATGCGCATTGTTTGTGGGATTTCTACGGAGCAGAATGCACGGCACCACGGCTGCAACCTCGGGGCATTCATCGGTAACAGTTTCCGTTAATTTAAAAGTGACTGTCGTAGCATATCGGGGAGGGCACGCAGGAACTGCCTGGTTGTTAAACGAAAGGTGCGGCGATAGATAAATCTAGTTCCTGTCTTAAAAAGTGACACCTCAAGGGACCATTTTTTCAGGCTCCTCGTGCATTCAGCTGCATCGTCTATTGGAACAACGTAGTTTTTTTTGCCTAATTAAGCACAACCAGCACTCACGGTTAATTAGGTTGAGGAGCAATTACTGCATTGCAATTACAGTCTCAAAGCCACGTTTCAGATTTACTTGCAACTGCCCGGCGTGACCAAAACCGTTCATTGAAACACCGCAGTACGTCACGTGCTGCACCAGTGCTCCTGTGTTATCATTTTGTAATCCATTAACCTCACGTTGTGTGCGCATCCACACTCGGTGTTCTCTCGCCAAGTGCATTTCGGCATCTCGCTATATCAAGCAATTCAGGCGACGCAATAAAAAAAGAACGCTAAAGATGACTCAATCTTTCTTTTTCTGTTCTGCGCCAACAATGGAATTTTTTTTTATCTTGTTATCGCCCGATAGGTTACTCCCCGCATAATAACGCTCGTTAATACGACAAAGGGACGTTTAGGCAAACAAACGGGACAATGAGTCCAGACCGAATAAATTCGGCATGATCAATTGCCTGGCGTGCATTTGGTGAGGATGGGTGGTGGATGAGGGGGGGGGTGTACAAGAGCTGAAAAGGCGTTCTGCATTATTTGTGTTGCTGGAGTGAGAGCGGTCAACCAAAGGGGGTTTGGTGGTCCAGGGGCGTTAGCGGCCCTCCCTCGCTCTTTTTTACATCTCGCACATAAAGACTTAAAAGAGCGCAGGGATGAGCTTTGTTAATTGGTAGGAAAGCGGAAGATCTGCGCACACAAATGAGCACATCATTACTGATGGGGTTTTTTTTTCACGCTGCCGGCGCAGCAAACGGTCCTCTGAAGTCTGACCCAGTGCCGCTGTATAACGACGAACGCTTTGCGAATGCAATGTGTTTTGCTTTTCTGATTCTGCGAGCTTAAGATGACGAAGATTGCACTCCTACGTGTCATCGTATCGAATGTGGTTGACTGAGAGAGGGGATCGAGGTTCTGGAGCAATCTTCTTGATTCATATTAAGGGTTAGGGTGGTGCATTCACAGCAGTCCACCGGGAGCGTTGTACAATAACGTATCGTGTGTGCCATTGTGCAGGAGGAGTACGGGTAATAAAATAATAGACATGGCAATGCACGTAAAAAAGAAGTTAGTTCCATCAACCTATGGGGCTTTCTGAATACATTATCTCCAGTAGCATTTTATTTTTACTGGAAATCTCTGGGCCACGTTGTCGGTCTCTTTAGCAGAGCCGGGCCTGTTCAACATTTGTTGACTCGTAGCTGTTGTTGTGTTTTGTAAGAGCCCAAGACTGCAGCCCTCTGACCACCTCTGAGCTGTGCAGATGCAACCCAGAGTTTCCTCCCGGGGCCATCATATTGAATGTGGTTGATTGAGACAGGGGATAGAGGGTTCTGGAGCAATCTTCACTTTCCAACATCAAGCGTTGAAACGCACCGCATTCTTTCTCGACTCTTGACGCCCAGCCGAGGAGCAAGTGTCGCGGTCATTTAACGCGTACGATTTCGCACCCATTCCTAATCCAAGTGTGGTGTTTACCAGATTGGGCTGCGGTGTGTTGAGCATTTATTCTCTCAAGCGTTCGCCCCATGCATACTAGTCCTTGGATCAGAAGAGAATTCGGTACCAAACCTATGCTAGAAAAAGCTTTAGTGGTACTGATTGTTTTTTTTATACGCTTGATAAAAATGAATTATTTAATAACCCCCTCGTTTCAAATTGTCATCGCACAATTCACGTTTATTGGCCACGGAGGAATTCAAAGCACTGTATTTATGCCACCTGAATTTGTGCGAACAATTGAAATATTACGTCTCGGCTCATGGATTATACTACAGGCATCTTCGATTCAACATTGTTTTTTTGTTAAATGCCCCGCAGTAGTGCGTGGTGAAAGCTTGAGAGAAGAAACGATCAACGCACCACAAGACAGAGTCCTACTTCACTGCAGCGTTAATCGAATAGCACTCATTAAAGTGTCAAAGCCGCGCAATCGAAAACAGCACTCTTTTCAACGTTAGCCTGTCATATTTCGATAATTTACAAACATTCGACACCATTGCTAAGGGCTGCACGTTAAACGGTTTCCATAACGGCCTGTTAGAATGCATAACACTAGCCACCATCGCCAGTGTAATATTTAACTGGCAGTAACTTTTTAATAAAAAAAAGAATACACACCAGTTTAATGATTATGGTTGGTTTTTTTTAGCAATCTGGTCCCTTAGGGGTCTCCCCCCCTAAAAAGAAAGGAAATGTGGCATCATAAAGTGAGTGTAAAAAAAAGGAGACATCATCTACAGCATTATGAGTGAGGTGCTGACACGTACAGTCTACACCAGCCACATGACAGCATCATCTCCAAGCTCTGCCACGCATGCGTGCAGATCCTTGAAAGTCACGGACTCTGCATGGAAAGTGCTTCTGAGGACAGATGGTGGCGTTTCTGTGGCCCAAAACTCCCCCGCCACTCTGAAAAAAAAACACATGGGAGATTAGAGGCCAGTCTAGGTCATCCTGCCTCATCGCCCACTCACCCGCCGCCCCCACCACCACCGCCACTCGTCTGGGTTTAATTGTCTGAAAGTTTTTTTTTCTCCCAGACATAACACGCTGTTGGGTGCGATGGGTGGAGGGATTGCGGGTATGGGATTCTGATGCAGTGCGGGTGGTGGGGTAGGATGGGGACTGGGGGACGTGGGGTGGGGGTGGAGTGGTCATATTGCGACTTGTCTGAACAACGCTGCAGCAACAACGCGTGCTAAAAATGCCATCGCCCATCGACGGGAGGCTTCCTGGGAATATTTTAAAAACTTTTTTTTTTAAAACACGCTTTTATGAAATGTACTAAAAAGTTAAAAATATTTTATTTCTGTTCAAGTACTTTGCATTATATATGTTTAATATACTGTTGTTGTAACTGACTAAAAATACAAGCGTGGGGCATAACGTAACGGACCGTGGGCCAATTACAGCCAACGTCAGTTGACCGCGGACAATTAGATCCAAGCTGAAACATGACATATAAAAAAGAATGTTTACAAATATATGTTTTATTTTTTATGATAGAATATAGTATTGTCATCAGTATGACATCAGTTTACCAAATTTGCAGTCGATACCACATTGGGAAGCGGATTAAAATTGAGTTACAAGATTTGGGGATACAACAACGACGACGACGACAACAACAACAACAACAGATAGAGTTAAATAAAAGCGTGTCAAATAATTAAAGGGCAGCCACATTGAATTGTTGTTGGTGTCGCTCTTTCGGCTGGATACGAGAGCATGGTTGGCTACGTACGAAGCAAAGGAAGTTCAACGAACATACATACAAGCTATCGGCCCTGATGTGCATTTATTGATGCGCTTGAAGCCACTCCAGATCCTACAATATGTATCTGCAAGTGAGAATTTCAATAGTCATCTGGGTTAGTGGTTTTATTTTACTCTCACTCTGTTTTGTTGCCATTGTGGTGAAAAAAAGGCCGCTATTGAACGCAAGAACGCACACAGGCTACTGCATTGTGTGCTTATTAAATTGTAACATTTTTTTCTGCCTGTCTGTCTTTTCCCCCAGTCTGCTTGTGTTATTTAATTTACACGCATTTAAATACTTTGCCTGATCTGCAACTGAAATGCAGCGTCATCTCGTAAATGTGACCCAGACAGAGGAAATGGGCATAATTTAAAAAAAAAGAAAAGTTTATAAAAACAAAACAATAAGTAACCGCATTGCGAGTAGCACACGATCGCAAATCAAGAGCTTTGAAACTCTTCCGCAGCTCTGTAAAATTTCTCAAATAATAAGTTACCAAAATAATGTAAGTGAACTGCATAGAACGAGGCGGTGGATGAACTGATGGCTTCTTGTGCACCCTCCCTGACGTGGCGGTGGCCGGCCGCTATCGTTGTCCAGAGCCCCATCACGGGCTCTCCTTGTTGTTCGCAACGTTAACTGAGTGGAACTAATGTACAGATGACATCAGATACTGTGATTACCCCCAAGCGACCGGGTTGCATGCCCTAGACCTCCTGGAGTTAGCTTGCTCCCTGGCAGTCCGTGCGAGAACACGCCACAGTCGTGCCCAAGTGTAGAATGCATTTACTTTTTACGATCAAGAAAGTTAGGGCCATGGACGGGGACAACTGCGTTATGAACCCGGAAAACTGAGTTTAATTCCAGGGCAATGGCGAACGCGAGTGTTGGCAAATTATTTATGCGTACCACCTTTAGCAAACTGGCACCGACCGACGAGGTGAACAATGGAATGGCGTGGGAAGGAATTCAACCAACAGTGGATTTATAAATGGCTGAAAAATATATATATATTTGTTAATACGACTGTGATGGTTGTTTTTGTTCTGTGTTGGTTAATAATTGACCCTGTTTGCTGTTGTTATTGGACATTTCAGAGCGTGTGCACTACATCGTTTCATCACCCGGGTCTCCCTTAAAAGAGATTTGTTTTTGTTTTAACGGGTCCGTTCTGGTTGTAAATAAAGTTGAAATACTTTGTTGACATACCATGTACATGTGTAGCCATTTTGTCAAACCACTGCTGGATGAGGACCTCTTTCATGTATGCATGTTGAACTTCTTTCCCACCATACAGTGAGGGAAAAAAGTATTTGATCCCCTGCTGATTTTATACCTTTGCCCACTAACAAAGAAATGATCAGTCTATAATTTTAATGGTAGGTTTATTTGAACAGTGAGAGACAGAATAACAACAAAAAAACAGAAAAACGCATGTCAAATATGTTATAAATTGATTTGCATTTTAACGAGGGAAATAAGTATTGACCCCCCCTCAATTAGAAAGATTTCTTGCTCCCAGGTGTCTTTTATACAGGTAACGAGCTGAGATTAGGAGCATACTCTTAAAGGGAGTGCTTCTAATCTCAGCTTGTTACCTTTATGAAAGACACCTGTCCACAGAAGCAATCAATCAGATTCCAAACTCTCCACCATGGCCAAGACCAAAGAGCTCTCCAAGGATGTCAGGGACAAGATTGTAGACCTACACAAGGCTGGAATGGGCTACAAGACCATTGCCAAGCAGCTTGGTGATAAGGTGACAACAGTTGGTGCGATTATTCGCAAATGGAAGAAACACAAAAAAACTGTTAATCTCCCTCGGCCTGGGGCTCCATGCAAGATCTCACCTCGTGGAGTTGCAATGATCATGAGAACGGTGAGGAATTAGGCCAGAAATACACGGGAGGATCATGTCAATGATCTCAAGGCCGCTGGGATCATAGTCACCAAGAAAACAATAGGTAACACACTACGCCGTGAAGGACTGAAATCCTGCAGCGCCCGCAAGGCCCCCCTGCTCAAGAAAGCACATATACATGCCCGTCTGAAGTTTGCCAATGAACATCTGGATGATTCAGAGGGCAACTGGGTGAAAGTGTTGTGGTCAGATGAGACCAAAATGGAGCTCTTTGGCATCAACTCAACTCGCCTTGTTTGGATGAGGAGGAATGCTGCCTATGACCCCAAGAACACCATCCCCACCGTCAAACAAGGAGGTGGAAACATTATGCTTTGGGGGTGTTTTTCTGCTAAGGGAACAGGACAACTTCACCACATCAAAGGGATGATGGACAGGGCCATGTACCGTCAAATCTTGGGTGAGAACCTCCTTCTCTCGGCCAGGGCATTGAAAATGGGTCGTGGATGGGTATTCCAGCATGACAATGACCCAAAACACCCGGCCAAGGCAACAAAGGAGTGGCTCAAGAAGAAGCACATTAAGGTCCTGGAGTGGCCTAGCCAGTCTCCAGACCTTAATCCCATAGAAAATATGTGGAGGGAGCTGAAGGTTCGAGTTGCCAAACATCAGCCTCGAAACCTTAATGACTTGGAGAAGATCTGCAAAGAGGAGTGGGACAAAATCCCTTCCTCAGATGTGTGCAAACCTGGTGGCCAACTACAAGAAACGTCTGACCTCTGTGATTGCCAATAAGGGTTTTGCCACCAAGTACTAAGTCATGTTTTGCAGAGGGGTAAAATATTTATTTCCCTCATTAAAATACAATAAATGTATAACATTTTTGACATGCGTATTTCTGGATTTTGTTGTTGTTATTCTGTCTCTCACTGTTCAAATAAACCTACCATTAAAATTATAGACTGATCATTTCTTTGTCAGTGGGCAAACGTACAAAATAAGCAGGGGATCAAATACTTTTTCCCTCACTGTACGTAGTCAACCGTGCTAATCGGAGGTGTGGGTTGTGGGGGATGATGGGGTTATATGACCACACTGGTCAAAGGGTCTTGGTCAAGGTATCAAATTGAGACGTGGCAGCATAGTAGAGTATAACAATGGAGTCTTGCTGACCGTCTCTCTGTAGTGGGTTCCCATGGAGACCGGAGACGTAGCTTTTAGAGGCAACACGTTTATTGCAATAAACGTTACAATAACCTTATTGGTCCCTAACACAAAGTGGTGACAGCCCCTTTACCTGCTACCTGGGGAGGGACGGCCTCCGGGCTAGCGTGCCCTATCACTGGGACCACGGGTTCTCAGTGCTCCGGATAAGGGTGACCTAGGGGAGGCTACGCTGACCCGACCCAGCCAGGTCTCGACCACTGGCCCGCGCTCGACCCCGGCCCTTAGAAGGACGTGCCCTGCAGTAGCTTGCAACATCTGTTCTCAGGCATTGTTCTGACCCATCCAAGTCCTCTTGAGGCTCAATCCTTCTTATTTTCTAACATCGGGCACATTCTAGGTAATTTGGTCATCGGGTATATTCTATATAAATACACACAGAGTCATAAACATATACTTAAACAAACATGAACAAAACCTCCATATTTTCAAAGAAAGTTGGTCATATTATGAATGAAAAAATTCTGTTACAGTATAACTAAAGCAAAATATGTATTGCACACATGATCTTTATATTTTAGATGCCATTAATATTAAAGTATAAAACTTTGTACTACCATACTGTGTTTTGAACGAGAGAGCATTGATCTAATTCAAAGGTTTGTGAGTAAAATTTTGGTTGGGAGTCAACTCAGGACCTACAATTCCTGTTGGGAAAAATACCATAAGTACCACCTTGTGGGAAGTCAACTTCTTTTCTTCTATAGAATGACATGCACCCCACCATAGAAATGTGTAATTACCATCACTGGCTCAACGTTATAAAGCGGCAATGAGTATCTCAAAATGTTAGCAGGAAGACGGTTAACTTTTGAGTGCATTAATCAATACAGTATGTCCTTTCAACCGGTGGAGAAAATATTCAACGTTGTCTGGTTTGCATTGCTGGTGCTGGGTCGGTTCTGGTATCAGAGATTTATTCTCCACTGTTAGAACCGAGCCGTGCTGGTCCTGTGCCGAGCCACCCCGGCACAGCTCAGAAGGCGCCATGTTTTTTTTTTCCATTGCCGAAGCTAAGCCGTGATTTGGTCCATGTGCAGTGACATTGAATGAGTCACTGTAGAGCGTGGCGCTGGGAGATTGGTAGACAATGGGAATGGGAGCAAGCAGCCCGTTCTACCAGTTGGACCTGTGGGCAAGGCACGGAGCCCTCTGGGGGATCCAGAAGGGTGCGTGGCCGAGGGCGGAGCCTGGCCTCGCTGGGGAGGATAAAAGGCGAGCTCCGACTCACAGTCGGGGCTGCTGCCATCTGGAGTGGAACTCGTCGTGCTGCCGTTGTCGTGGTCTTCGCCTCTTCGAGCTGTGGCTCTGGCAGCATGTTGGCTGTCCTGACCCGGTATGGAGTTATCCCCCTATGGCTGTGAAGGCCGGAATAAACAAGAGAGAGTGCCTCCTACTAGTGTCTCTGAATTAGTACACTACACATGTGCAACTTCCAGATTGTGGTCCTTGTTCTAGGCCAGGGTTCGGCAGCTTGCGGCTCGTAATAATAGGGTTTCCCCCTTTTTCTGGCAACAAAACTGAAACCTTTTTACAAGGATTCATGTCTGCGTTAACCACAATACCTGCAGTCAACATGCAAACAAAAAACATACTATGATAATATATGATTTTTTTTATTTAAAGCTTTCGTGACTGCAGGGATTTATATTCTTGGTTCTTTCGGTAAAGTCACGTAGAAGGGAAACAATAAAATAATAAAAAATATAAAACAATAAAATTCTCACAACGTTTCGACTGCAACACAAGCAATCATCATCAGGTGTGAAAACCACAGCAAGAAAAAAGAAAAACAATTCTTGCTGTGGTTTTCACGCCTGATGATGATTGCTTGTGTTGCAGTCGAAACGTCGTGAGAATTTTATTGTTTTATATTTTTATTATTTTATTGTTTCCTTCTACGTGATTTTACCGAAAGAACCAAGAATATAATATATGCATTGTCCTTGAAACTGATTGTACTACCATGCTTCTAGACCCACAGCAGTTTCAAGGACAATGCATATATTATCATAGTATGTTTTTTGTTTGCATTTTGACTGAAGGTATTGTGGTTAATGCAGACATGAATCCTTGTAAAAACGTTTCAGTTTTGTTGCCAGAAAAAAAGGGGAAAAACCCTATTATTACATTTTGGTACTGGCAAAGGAGGTCTAATGATGAAGCTTGCGGCTCTTCAAGGACTGCTTCGTGACGTTATTTAATAAGGACCACCGTCTCGTATTCATGTGCATTGTGGCTGTTTAAATATTGCGGTGTTTTTTTTGCGAATTCGAAAAAAATGTCTCTTCTTGTTATTTTGGTTACTGACCCCCTGTTTTAGGCAGGGCAGAAAGGGTGAGGTGCTGTACCACATTTGTGAGTGTTATCTCTTCCAGATGCACATGCTTTATCTGTTTTATCTAAGTTTTCTAGTTTTCTCCAACGCGTGAATATCTCCAATCGGTATCGAGCAAATACTTCTCGCAGAGCCCTCCTAAAAGCCGAGTGATCAATCTATGGTGACAGCCCTTACTTTCATCATCAGCATCAGCCATGGTCAATTCACTGTAATTCACTACTGTCATCTTTCACATTCCAGCGTTATAATAATCCACCTAGCATCTGCACTCCATCACCTTTAGTGTATGTCTAGGACCCGTTCCATTCCTTAGCTGCCACTGTTATTATTCTTCGCCATTTTCCTTCTTCCCTTCTAGCGGTGTCGTGCCCAAGCCCACTTATTTAATAGTTTACATGATGTCATTAAGCTGCATATGTTCTCTAATCCACGTATGCCTTATAATCTCTCAATGTCATTTCAGGCATCCATCTCTCCATGCTTCTTTGTGCACTCTTAAACCTTTTATCTTTTATTTTTGTGAATGACCATCTTTCTCAACCATATATCATAGCAGGTAGTGCACACTGATTAAAATATTTATTATTTCAAAATGATCATATGAATATCCATAAACATGGCCTAGGATGCTGAGCAAAGTGGTCACGTCCCTACTCACTCTTGCTGCCAACTGAGTCACATTGGCTCGTGAAGGGCTAAATATCAGTGGAGAAATCAGGAAAGTTTACATTGGCAAACATGTTTAATATCTGGGGGGGAGGGGGGAACCTAGATGCTCAGTGATGCTTTACTGGTACAGGAATGGTGTTCTGGATACATAATTTTCCCCACGTGTACACCCCTTTTGATATAAACCATCACGGCAATGATCCTGTTTTGCGCAAATGTGGTGCTTGAATGCGGGCGATTATCCTCACTCCTGCTGACGCCACCAATTACACTCGGCTGCACTGTCCTGATCTGGAATGGGTTGGCTCCCTCGGATGCACGCTCAGAACTCGTGGAGCCTTGGGATAATTGCTGTGGCCTTGCCGGCTTGTAGGAGTTCATAAGATAATTAGCTGAAGACACGAGTTTCCAAGGGCAGCATGTCCTTATGCTTTGCCAATTTAAAAACCTTGCCGGCTGTGGTGGCGCATGCCTATAATCCAGCACCGTGGAGGCGAGCGTTTGTGGATTGGACAAATGTTATAAAACTCCCTTCTCCTGGTTTGCCAGGATGAGGCGCTACAGCAAATATGGACTCCACTTGTTCTATCTTCATGGAATAGAGTGTTGCTCCCTTGCACGTGTTGGCTTTTTCCCAATGTAAAAAAAAAACTTACTCAATTGGCTGACAACACCTTGATATATAGAGGACCGCAAAGTTTTGGAGGGAATTTGGCACCAGCTCACCGCGTAGCTGCCTTTCCCACTTGTCCTGGGTTCTTCGCACGCCTGAGTCGCTCTCTCTGTGAGAGCGAGTGGAAAATACTATGCAGTGCATTGCAAGTTAAAATTATTATATCACCATATTCAGCTTATAGCAGTGTAAAGAGTTTGATATGCTATCTTATTGCGTAATTTTTCTTGGTAAAATGTTTATTAGGGAATTCAAGTATCCTTTAACGTTGCAGGCGACCACCGTACCTACGACCTAATTAGTTCCTGGACGACGATCGCAAGTGGAGCCGTCGTAAGCGGTCGCCAAGCAAAAGTAACACCAACAATTTAAAAGCAGCGACATCGGCGTCGGTAGCAGTCGTTAGGCGATCGTAGATTCGAGTTTTGTTTGTTACTGTGTGGTCTTACTATAATAAAGGTCATGAAAGCGTAAGCCGGGGGTCACCTGCATTGTATAAAGGATACCAGGCATAAAGACAATTCATTAATATATATACAAAGGCGATAAACAATATTACTTACGAGGCAATCAATGTATTTAACCCAGACAAAATAATAGGGAGGGACGTACTCTTTGGTTCTTTCGGTAAAGTCACGTGGGTATAAATAAAAAACCACGTGACTTTACCGAAGGGACCAAAGAGTATGGATTCCTGCAGTCACGAAAGCTTCAAATAACGTAGATTTAATGGGGGGGGGGGGGGGGGGGAGGTTATAGAGATTACATTTTATTTCAATGAAATTATGATATATGTTAACAATCTCCTCGATAAGGTATGGATGTAGTCATCACTGTCCCAATCTTATTTGTTTCGTGAGAAAGCAAGGGTCGTAAATCAGTGAGGTATCTATACATGAATAACCCCCTGTGTGTGTGTGCTTGCATGAATATGTATAATGTATACATTGCAGTATATAAAAACATTTGCGTTGAAAGGTTATTTGTATGAGATAACCAACAGACATTCTGAGGCATATTTTATATCAATGTTAAGTAGTAATATAACACATTTTGAGTTATTTTTTGTATACAATAAAATTAGGGGTAGGTGGGAATATCATTTATTGTATGTTGCATTTTCACAGGAAATGTAAATTATTTTTTAAAACTACAGCAATTATTTGGTGATGCCTCTGCATTGGCAGTAGTGCACAAGCAAAAGTAACACCAACAATTTAAAAATATTCGTCAGTAACACTGTGGCCTTAAAATATTAGATATTTATTTCATTTTAAAGCAGTGTTATGGACAGTTGCATTGAGTTGCTAGTTATTTTAAATACGGAGTGATTTATTACGAAAATTCTGTCTTGGCAAATTTGTCTTTGTATGTTTTGGCAGTTTACTTATCCACGAGTCGCAGCTTTTTATATACTTTACCCACTTTAACTATTTTTTTCTGTAGCATTCGTCCATACCTTATGTGTCAAGCTGACATCAATCATGTGCTCGGTAAAGATTCTGCCCGTTTTGTTGGATGGCTGCTTGCCTCAGGCTATTAAAGACGGGCCAGAATGGGTTTTATTACGATATAAATTTATTGCCCCATTGTCACTCTGTCTCCTTTATGCTTTGCACCCATATCTGGCACCTTTAACACAGTATGTGATGATTTTGTATTGGCGCGTACCGATGTGTCATGGCATCAGAGGTGAAGTGGCTCCATTAACTGAGGGCCCCTTGGCCTAAGTATACATGTGTCAGTTTCAGCCTCAGGAAAAACGAGTGAAAAGCAAAGGTTGCGTTGTCAGTTCGCGCGAGGATATTCGGGCAGAGTGAGCTTGAAGGCTGTCACCCGAGTCACTGAAGATGATGGCTGCACAAGAATGATGTTCAACACGTGTGAGTGTGGAGGATTAGATGGCATCTTACGGCGACAGGGCCAATTTATGAGAACGTTTTGTGTGAGAAAAAGTAAAATCTCATACGATAGCTTAAAACGTGGTCTCACCGTCCTTTGTTTAGTCTCCTTATTAACGCATGGGCAAACATAGTAACAGAGAGGCAGCCAAGCAATGAAACACATCTGAGATTACGTCCACCGAGGAGATGGAGTGATGGAATCAGTTCATGTGCCAGTGCTTGGTGGATTATTACATCGCAGGATCATAAGGGGAGGCAGTTTACTGTTACTACTATTTTTATATTACCAGGTAAGGCCTACTGAGCCATATGGCTCTGTTTCATAAGCGACCTGTTACAAATGATAGCTCAATGAAGTGGCTTATCAGGTGAAAATGTATAGCAGCCAAATGCTCCAAACGCACGTTTCTACATGTGGTGGAGGGAAAGGACCGGAGGACCTGGAGAAAAATCCAAGCCACCACGGCGAGAGACATGCATATTGTGGGTTCGATCCCAAACCATTGATGCCTGTGTAATGTGGAGGTCTTCTTCAGGCAGTGGATTGACCCTGGCTGATGCTGTTGTTTGATGCGTGATCTTCGACCGGTAGCATAGGTCCTTGGCTTTATTGTTGCATGCAGTTCTCATTCAGTTAAGGATTGCCACATGTGCTTCACGAAATGTTATAATCAGAACTCATATAAAAGTATGCCTGCCATATGTAGTAAAACTGTGGTAAGTTACAGCGATTTTACAAAAGCATCAATTTGGCACATCACGGTCAAACCCATGCACATGTGAAGTTTCTTTTTACATGTGTAGGCAAGACGAACGCAATATTAGTTGTTTTTCTAAACAAATATCAAACTATAGAATCTGGATTTGTATCAGCTTGTTTGTATATTCTAGGTGGATTGTTACATAGCAGGAAGCGTTTTCAGGAGGCCTTTATCCAGCAGTGGAATTGACCATGGCTCATGATGTTGATATTATCAACGAGAGTCATTGTGCAGTGAAAGGTTAAGGTTCAGCCTTTGCAATTGATTGTTCGCGCCACTGCTGGCATGAGGGGGGGGGGGGGGGTCTTTGCTGTACACCCACTGCAAGTGTATCGCACAGACAGCCTCTCTCCCCAGCTTGAAGCAGACAAACTTTTGCAGCGGCTGAATCGTTCGCAACGTTACCGGACGGTTATCCAACAATGCAACAAAAAAAAAACTCCTCCGTGCCACATGATTCAACGTGCTACAACGAGTTTATTGTGAAAACCAATTTAACGAGGACAGACATTTTATTGTAGCATTACATTATTGCAAGCTGCTATTTTAAGTGCAGCAATGTAAGTTTTCTAGAAGCCGTTGGGTTGTTTATTACACTTTCCTGCAACGAGCAGCGCCAGTGTCAAGGTTGAACATGTTATGTTTATTTGGTCACTCTGACCCAGGCATCTAATCTCAGCCCTTGGAGGAACTAAATTTGGCAGGCTTTTTTTTTTTTACAATCGTTATTACGGTATAAAATGTTGCAATTCATGCCAGAACGCTTCACCGTAAGTCCCTCTTCTGTCTCGAGGGGTTTGTATCAGTGGGAGACCAATCATTCAGCTCCGACAATTGCTCACTCGTATGATACTTTAGACATATCTTCTATTGTAAGAATATCATGTGCCCCCTCCGCAAAGATTAATCTTGCCCCTTGACCAAAAGTAGAACGTGTTTGGGCAAAGCATGGCCTCCCTTCCCCATGGACGTGAATAGACGGAGAGCTCTTGGCATATAACATCTGGCAACATCAACAGCGTTCGCTGAACAGCCCTAACTGTTGATGAGACTCAAAAGGTCAAAACCGGTCCAAAGTTTTCCTTGCTTAAAAAAACACTTCCGCATGATTTTGGTTTGGAGAGCTAAAAAAACCATACTGTATTTTATTTGTATGTGTATGTGGACACACGCAACGGAGGTCTGCTCATACCTGCCTGTGTATCGTGTTCCTATAAGAACTTGGAAATGGAGTCGGAGGCAATGGAAGATCAACTCATCTGATCATGCGATCACGTGCCAAGCTTTTCCTGCCAAGTGGCACTTAAAAAGCCAAGCAGGCACGAATACAAAGTGTTGCGTGGGCTGGCGACGCACCACGCTCGTTTAACCCCAATATACCTGGGCTCACGTAATCCTATTTTACAACCACGGCTGTTACAGGGATTGTGCCCTCTTCCAGCCTCCCTCGCACTCTCCCCGGGCGCAGCAGCAGCAGCATGACTTCATCATGCAAATAAATCAAGCCAGGGAGACGGAGCTGGCTGATGATTAACCAACAACACTAAACTCGCCACTGGCAGCTGCTGGGACAGGCTGGACTCGGGAACAAAAATCCAACGAAAACAACAGAGTCGGAACATTGGGGGTGCTTTTTGACCTAGAAATGACCACTCGAGCCGCGTGTGATTCAGCTACCATCCAAACACTGTAGCATGTCACCCAGCCTGCCTGTTGACATTCACCCAAGGTACTATATCACTGGGAGGAGCACTGATACTGACCGAGTGGTTTGCTCTGCACTACGAAGGGGTTCACCTGAGTTTGATTCACAGCAGTGTGTGTGTGTGGGGGGGGGTGATATAGCTGAACTGGTTCTGGGACCCCCCCACCCTCACTAACATGTACGATAATAACCAGGATGGTAATGTATGCTCAAACACCCCCCTCCCCTCCCTTTAATTGGATTGATTAAAGTATGTACTTTTTTGTTTTACTATTTAAATTAAGGTGGAACATGATTTTGCTTTATATAGAACTGGGTAAAAATATAACAAAAAGATATATGCATGGTTTCACCTTTGCATTATGATCATGATCTAAGAAACTGCTGATCTTGATGTAACAGAAGATTGTAAAGTGTAAAAAAACCACAATTGAATGTTATTCATGCACAGCTGCTTGTACATGTAAATGCAATGGTGATGTCTTTGTTGAGAAGCTTGGTATGTGACTTGAGTAGGGAATAATGAGGTTCACTCACATTCGTCCCGAGGGGCCTTACAGGGATTGAACAATTCTCGGAGATTCGTTGTGATTCGATTTGAGAATCAAATCTTGTCTTTAGCAATTGCTACATGATGTTGTGCAGAATACTTGACCTTGCTTCCCGTGGGCATGCGTCTCTCCATGGTTGTAACACCAACAATTTTCTACAGCAATGAGTGTGTGACTAAAAGCCACACGCGTGTGCATACGTACACACATTTAATAACAATAACTCAGAATTAGTATGCGTACATTTCGCTCAGCCAGTCGCTAACCAGCCAGTTGATTGATTTTTATGAACGTACACATGGTTAACTCGTATACACAGGTACATATTTACTCAACATACATACACATCTTTTTACATATAAACGAATTTATTCAAGATACACACGTGCACATTTCACATACATACAAACACATATTTGTACATACACACGTATACATGTTTCACATACACGTGCTTTTTTTTATTAAGACGTATTTTTGGTTAACATTAACACACGCATTGACATTTGCATACATGTGCATAGATGTCTTCCTGTACTGATATCATACAGAAAGAAAACTAGTTCTGCATTTGCACCATCACTGTTCATTCCGGATTGGAGTTACCCAATTCATTTGCACCCTCATATAGTTATTAGAGACGGGCATGGCGAACTGCTCTGTTAATACTGTGTTGCATTTATCCTTTGCTGTTAGTTTATCACCATTTGTTATTGTTTTACTTTGATTTCTCAGCACAGGACTTGACGTGCAGCGTCGAGTTTTTATCGAAATGTGTTTTTGCAGTAAAAAAAAATAGGAAGTTGGGTTCTTTGCCAACTCTTCACATTTCCATTGCGCTGCCTTCTATCCCCGCATTTCCCCCAGGTTTGCCACTCTCGAGAATGTTTTTACACCACAGAGCTCCTACCTAATTGTAAATAAACATAATTAATTCAAATATGTAGCCCGAGTGTGTAAACATCATAATGAAAATATCATTAATATCTGCATTTGTGGGGGAAAGGAGAATACAACTACCATCTGGCTGTCTTACACACACATATAATTAATTGAGCAACCATATACAGTACTGTAAGTAGGCATCTTGCAGGAGAAGAAGGTACGATATGCAATAACTTTTTAGCATAAAGCACCCATTACAAACGCAAAGTTTGTAATAGGGCAAACTCACGCCTGGATAAAGGTGATCAACACTGCAGTAGATTACTGTAATATTTTTCAAAAAAATTATTGCTGTGGTTTTCACACCTGATGATGTTGCAATCGAAACGTCGTGAGAATTTTATTGTTGAATTTTTATTATTTTATTATTTCCCTTCTACGTGACTTTACCGAAAGAACCAAGAATATGAGTACTGTAATTGTTATGCACAACTTAGCAAACTGTCTTTAGTTAGACAAGACTGTTGAAACAAATGCTGTTAGCAAGTAGCACCCGTGAAAGTCGGAACGTCACACGAAGGGGGTGGGTGGCCGGCAACCACGCCCGGCCGCCTTTGTCTCCCCAGTGGCGATGTTTACACACCGCACCACGTACTCATTTGAGGCTGAGTCGACCTAGGGGAGGCCCATAACCGGCTCAGATAATCGTCACCGGTGTTGGCCGTGAGCGGGAATCGAACTCGGTGTCGCCGTGGTTCGTAGTGCCCCCCACCTTTGTCACCCAGACATTGCGTGTTTCCAAAACACTCCATGTGCTAAACAATGGTGACATCCTCCTCCCTCCTGCAGGATGAGGTCATCCCCCACTGCATGTAGCGTGGGGAAGATAGCCGGGACGTACCTACAAGCTACACGCCTGCTGACAGCCACCGGGCTGTACTGCGGTGGTGCAATGGTCAGCAAGCACACACTGCCGCTGGAAACTAAACTAGAAAATGTTTTTTTTGTAATTTTACACGGTCAATCCCACTGGCTTATATAGCTCTTTCTCAGAAGCGACCTGGCCACAAATGATAGCTCAACGAAGTGGCTTATCCGGTGGAGATTTAATGCAGGCAAATACTCTAAATGCATGTTGTTGTTTTTTTTTTAAACGTGGAGGGGAAAACCCCTGAGGACCCGGAGAAAAATCCACACGACCACAAGGGGAGAACACGCAAACACCAAATATACAGGGGTCAGGGTTGGGATCAAGCCCACAACTTCCTGTATACCTAGCGATGTCGTGTGCATCTCGCCACCGTGGCGTCCCGCACCTGCAATCCACAGGTGGCCGATCACCCGGCACGCCACCTCAAGCAATGGACAAGTTTCTTCAAACCTCCATCCAACACCCAGCAGTATAAATGGGTACACCAAAATTAAGTTGATCGAAAGGTCGCGGCGCAGCGTGGAAGAATAGGCCAACGTATCCTCCGTAGAGGGGCATTCTAGAGGCTCCCTTTAGTGGAGGCTATTCCAGCAGATGTGGCGTGAGCAAGGAATTGCAGGGCTGCGCCTTTAACGTTGTCACCTTTACAGCCATCGCTGAGTGCGGGCTTGGGGGTTCCACTTCTGGAAAAGCAGGGTGTCAAGGTTCACTCATCGGTATGTTTGTGCAATTTTTATGAGCGTTTGGGTACAATATTTCCACGTGTACATATACGTGTACGTATGGACGTGTTGGTGTGGGTGTTTATTGGCTAAAGAGTGCTGATTTCTGGACTGCATTGTAAAAGGCGATTGCAAAGGTGCAGCCTACTCATGTGGGCCTTCACTCGTAGGGAGCTCGAGAGTGGCCATTTAGAGGGTGTTTTGGCCTCCTCTTCCATGCTGGGTAGACGTCCTAGAAGAGGTGGGAGCAACCCACACTTCTCCCCAACATGTTACCTTTCGATCAACTAACTTGTTTGTGTGTACTGCTTTAAACTGTGCGAGCTTGTATCTTCATTCACACGAATTACGTGAAAGAAGCTTGCGTATTTATTCATTAGTTTTCTTGTCTGATCATGCATTGTTTTTTTGTATTTAGTTTGTTGTCCTTACACCTCCCCCGCACCTCCAATTAGCACGGTTGACTACGTACGGTGCGCAATAAGTTCAACATACATACGTATTATTGGTGTTTTCTATGCAATTCGTGAGCAAGTTTCATTCTCTTGTTGGCTGCTGATCCTGGTAGAAAGTGGTATCGATAGTGCTCGTAAAGCAGAGGTGATCTCGCAGGATGGCAGAGGGGGGGGGGGGACAATTTCCCCCCAAATATATATTTTATATGGCCATTGTAGGTCAGACTTTATTTTTGATATTTAACGAATGCAACATTTTACGTAAATACTTGAGAATCGTTTAAGTATACGTAACTATTTCATTGCAGAGACGTTTAATGTTATACTGTATCGTACATTTTGAATTTATATCCAATCAACTTTGTTTCCTGAAATAATTTAGTCCCCTCTGAAGTTGTGCGCATCGTATGTCGAATTTCTTTCGCACCGTACGTAGCCAACCGTGCTAATCGAAGGTGCGACATTGTGACCCGTCTGGATTATTTTTGCCCTGCTGGGTACGATACTGGTGGTTTGAAAACTTGTGCCGCGGTGGCAAGCGGACTACTGCACGATCAGCACATTGACCTGCGCAAGGTTGATTCTCGGCCACGTAGCAAGTTACAACATCCGAACCAGTACCGAGTCCCTGAACCGGATCCTGAAACCCCACATGACCAAACACAGCATGGAGATGCCTTCATCTAGCAATGAATTGTACGTATGCATTGATAAATACCTGGTTGTATATTATTACTGTATTATGATTACTTTTTAAAGAAGTATATTACAACTATTTATCAATAAATCCAGAGACCTAAGCGGTAACTTGTCCTATTGCACCCCATAGGCCCAATTTATGTATTTATGTTAATTCAGCAAATTTAAATCAGTTAAGGTGAAGCAGGGGACAACTTAGCAATGTTTGATTTGTAAAAAAAAAATCTTCAATGGGTATTAGCCATAATAAGCTTCCTGGTGTAGGCTTTTGGCAGCCATTGGCATTTTTTGAGATTATTGTTGACCTTGCCTTAGCCGCCAATTAATGTTTAGCCTTGCCTTTCATAGTCAATACACAACCTCTGATAAGACTGCTGAAGGCACACTTATTGATTGTCAGTCGGTGATATAGGGTAGATCCAAATTGAGTTTGCCTTCGTAACTTTTTTGCAATAAATTGTTAATTTAATAAGTGCAAGCATAAACATGGATCACAAGCTAAAGAGCGCACAAAGCGTAGGTGATAAGCACGCTCGGAATGACACTTAGAGAAAAAGGAACACACGTGTCAGGGAAAACAAATCAGAGACAACGTATTGAGATATCATAGAAAATAAAAAGGGGCTTTTTGGCATGACACATCGCTATACCGGATAATGGTCATGGACGAGGCAGGTAATGGAATGACAGCCAAAGCAGGGAACACGTCCAAGAGGAAGATCACTGCAGGGAGATGCAGCTTCAAGATCAGTTGGTGTGCAGGAGAGAGATGGATGGTAGCAGCACTGAACTGTGAGGGATGGAGATGGAACGGGGAAGACGCCATCCTGCAGTGGATAGACAACGGGTGATGGTGACTTTAAAAACGGCTGAAAGAAATGCCAAGGGATCTGAAATGTGATTGTAGCATGCCTTCTGCAGTGTATGACCCCCCCCCCCCCCCACTCGGAATGTTTGTGCACGTTAAATAAACAGTTTTTAAGAGTTTTCTGCAGCTCCACTGAAAATTGTACAATTAATCCTCTTTCTCACTCTCTCTGAAACACATTTCTCCTTCAGTGCATGTCATCGTTCACAAAATACTATACTCAATGGCAGGCTTTTGTAATTTTACACACAACCAGCAGGTGCCTTGTCGAAAGTGCACAAGTGCCGTGATACAGAACTGTAGTTGTTTACTTGAGTCCGTACTCTTGGGGAGATGAATCTCATTTGGTATATTTTCCATATTCCGTATGTAATATATGTGTGTGTGTGTCTGTGCATCAGCATTCGTACACCGAAATACGTGAGTGAACCGTCAGCAAATATTGACAAATACATTGTTTTATATCCCATTCTTATGCGTGTTTTGTATTTAATTTGAGTGAGCGTGCTTCGACGTATTGTGTGTTCGTTTCACGTCTTTGTAAACATGTTGTATAACTACTGAATTCACACGCAGCAAACACGCCTCGCCCCGCGACGATCTCGTGGGAAAATTCCATCTGCGACGCATCCCTGCTATTGTTTAGTTACCTGAAAAAAGTTCAGTTTCCTTCCGATGCCAACATGGTTGTTTTGCCTGTTAATAAACTCTGGTTATCAGAATGGAGTGAGCATACTTCCCACTTACTCTTTGATATGCGTGGGATGCATAGATTCGTGAAGATTCTGACGAGAATACAAACAGAGAAAATAATCCCTCCTTTCCCAGGCTTCTTCCTCATCTTCATGGAAAAATGATTACTTCATTATGAACAAGAGTTCGTAATCTTAGGTGCCTCAATTATAAGCTCAAAATAATGATGGTCATAATGAAGACAATTAAACTCAACCTTGTGACGGTTATGCCCGAGTAGATGATAATCACGGTTATTAAAATTATCAGTTTTCATCATGATGAAGGCTTACGGCGATGACAGTAACAATTTTACAGAACTTAACAGCGTTAACCTAAAAAAAAGAGCGAAAATGTCACTTTAACCTCTTGCTGCGACTCTGCCCGTGTGTACGCTTCCACGTTCGCGTGCACCTATGCCTCTTGAGCGTGCCTTGACAACTTACCAAACAGGCAAGTTCAACCTGCCAATCAAATTAATAAAGTTTTCCCCGCATGCGGTATGTACACAAACAGCAGCACTCTGCAAACAGCAGCTTGAAGCGTTCATAATTGACGGTATTTTTGTTGTGTATACCATAAACAATGGCTTCGCGAGTCATGCCCTTCATTTAAAATCTAAGGCTCCCTTGTAGCCAGCTCTTCTTTCGTGGTTGTTGTTGTGGTGGTAGTTTTTTTGTTGTTGCTCTTACCCTCACCACACCACGAAGAGTAAACCAATTGCTAATGAGACACAAGTGTAAACAAAACAGGTTGGTTCAATGTAAATAAATCCAATCACAGTAATTGTGCCATGCAGTATTCGTGATGCTAGTCTCCCAGATAACATCTCTAAACAAACCACTCTGGATTAAACCGTTTCCTTTCTCCAACTCCCTGGGAAAACTTATACACTTGTGCTCTCAGATATTTGCTGATGTTTTCTCGTGAAATGTTTAACAAATATACGACGGTTCACAATCAAAGTCAATGCAATTTGTTCCCCTTGTTCATTTAAAACGCTTTATTGTCCAAAAAAAAAATCAGGAAAAAAACACCCTGGCAAAAAAATGTCCACGCATGCAGAAATGTGTTGAGGTCATGAACAAACTACAAGTCTGGGCCTGCCACACGATACAAGCCTGTGCTTGCCTCGCCTGGCCACGCAAGCAATTATGGCCATGCCCAGTGCTCACACTCCACTCAGTGTTCCATGCCCTTTTGGCACGCTGCTCCATTG